AAGAACTAAGGATTATATGGGACCTTTGCAATAGAAGGGAAAACTGCCAGGAAAAATAAAAATGAGTTAATGCTAAAATCTGAATATATTTTAGCATGAAAATCATATTTGGCATAAGTAAAATTGATTTTTTTCCGGCAGACTCCCTCCTTTCTATTGTAAAGGCCCCATATGTATTCAAATGAAAGTTAAATAATAATTGACCCTTTAAATTTTTTAGAACTGGTAATCTTAAAATCGAAGGATCTCACGGGCAGCTGCAGTGATTGTACATTGATGGAGAGAGAGCAAAAAAATGTTTTTTTTGTCAGAAAAAAAAGTCAAACATCCTATAAAATCGACATGTACAAATCGTGCAACATCAGTTCGTTACCAGAATAATCACTTTAAAATCTATTTATATCAATTTGGATCTTTTAAATAGGACGCGTTCGTTATTTGAAACTCGCAGATACTAAGAATAAAAAATCATTATAAATCCAAATGAGACAATGATACTGCAAGATTATCAAAAAAAAAAAAAAAACCCCCCATTGTTTTCTACAAATCATTCTGTTATCGTTATCTAACGTAAGACAAAATAGAACATGGAATATTTCTAGCAATTGTTATTGATCGATCCATCCGATCTCCGTCCGTCCTTTAGCGGGGTGAGATTGGAGCGAAGGCGATCTTTAAGATCGATTTTTAGATCGATCTTTTAGACCGGTATTAGGATCGAAATATATTATTTATTTATTTACAAACGAAAAAAAAAATTATTTCTTTAAGACTAAAGAAGCGTCAAATCATGAAATAAAACAGGAGAAAAATCTCAACTTTTACGGGAGCTTGTTATTTTTTAAATATATATTTACTGTATATTTGTCAATACAAACCGAATCATTGAATGGTCATTTTTGATATAACACAATTGTTCTGATTCTTTTGCTATGAAATAACTTAAGTATAAATGATGATATTGTAAAAAAATCATGCGACGAAGAAGCCCTTCTTGTTTAGGGTAATAACATTAATTTTTTAGAATTATTTTCTTTCGAAATTCTTTTGGAAACATATAATTTTTATGCCTTTATTTTATTTTTAGATTCCTTTCGCGTCCAAAATAAAAGAAACACATTATCGAATCATATTAAAAATTTGTCAATGAGAGGTTGAAAATGCTGCTGTATCAAAACCTTTCTCTTTATAATTATCACTTATTTTTGTGCATAATCACGTGTCATTGTCTATTTTATCAACCTAATGATTATGCGGGAATATACGATTTACTATATCTATGAATGTTGAGAAAAGAGGATCAAATTGTAAAAAAAAAAAAAAAAAAAAAAAATTCTAAATAATATATGGGACCTTTGCAATAGAAAGGGGGAAACAGCTGGAAAATAAAAAATGGGTTAATGCTAAATCTGTACATATTTAGACCTAATTAATCAGATTTGCCATATAGAAGTAAAATTGATTTTTCCGACAGTTCTAATGCAAATGTTCTGATAAAAATTGCCCGCTCAAAAATCGAGTCGATCTCTAGGTAAATTATCTACTTGTTTCCGGATCTTGCCTATTTCTAGTTTTTATCCGGATCTTAATTAGTATACATAATCAATCCAATCCTAACCTTCAGATTGGACCGAAATCGGTCATATGATCGGATCGCCGTCTTCCATCCCTAATATTAACCCAAAAATGGTAACCTTAAAATTTAAATTTGTTATCTGATTTTGAATCTTTTTTTCGCGATCTTTAGAAAAGAAAATTGATATAGGATTTCGAATGGAACAACAGATCATCAGTAAATCATTCAACAAAAATAATTAGTAATGATACTTAAATTGTCTAAATTTGCTAGATATTGAGGTATCACAACCATACAACATACATCAATTCATTTTCATATAATATCAGCAAATTTGATTTTTTTTTATCTTCTAAACTTTTAATTTAACGCGTCAAGGCAGCAAGACTTAAAAATGCATCTGGCTGTTATATGGAAAGCTGTGTCCAATCGTTCTTCTATGTGTTCTTTGCGTTATAATACCAAGTTGGTGTCAAAAATAACTCCTGCTGTCCAAAAACCGTTTTTAATGCAGCAGCGAAATCTCCACCCTATTATTATGGGGACTTATACAAATGAATCAAACATCATAAGGTTGGCCTCTTTTATAAATCAACTTAAAAATATATCAACAACTCCCTATTCCAGTTACCAAATAATTGACATAAAAATTATAAAATTGGAATTCGAAACCAAATTTTACAATTATGTTATTTGTGGTTGGAGGAAATGTTGTTGATTTAAATGTTTTGTGCAAAAGCGATATGGAGGTGATTTGCGCGCTCTGATTCTCAGGTTATTTATCATTCAGAAATATTTCATTGCCAAAATTATTTGCTAAACGGATACAGGTTCGAGGATACGGTAAGTATTGTTAATTCTATTTGGTACTTGAAAGATTTGCCTCTACATAATTAATTATAAATTTGAAAATAATAGTCAGCAAGGTAGTTAAAGTTCCTGCTTTGGCCGAATCAATCAAAGAAGGCACTCTTGCGAAATGGAATAAAAGTAATGTCATTTCTTATAATTTTTGTAAAATATGTAAATTGTTTAAATTATTTTCTTGTCTTTATATCTTACCTAATCATATTTCTACTTTCCTTACATCGAATAGAGGTCGGCGATTTCGTTCAGCAAGATGAGGAAGTTGCAACAATCGAAACCGATAAGGTATAATCAATTCATTCTGAAATAATTTCTTTTTTTTTCTTTTTATATCAATATTCAATTTTACTTCATAATCATGTTCTTTTATCATGCAGATCGATGCTCCTGTTAATTCCCCATATTCTGGTACAATACTCGAATTATATGCAAACGAAGAGGAATCTGTGGGTGTAGATCAAGATCTTTACAAAATTGAATTGGGTGAGGCTCCGGCAAAAGGTATGTTTGTGATTTCGTGTACAACTCATATTATTTCGTCACGTAACCTTGGTTAAATAATGAAAGCAGAGGAGCTTGAAACTACAAAGGAAGAAACGAAAAAGGAAGAGCCCAAAGAGAAAATGGAAGAATCTAAAAAGGAAGAGCCAAAAGAGCAAAAAGAACCTAAACAGGAATCAAAAAAGGAAACGACATCATCAAAACCCGGTAATGAATCTAATAATTTTCCTTTTCCCAAATAATAAATAATAATCCCTTTCGCATTTTATTTAATAGACTCCAAACCAACTACAACTTCGCCATCATCAAAGTCCGAAGGTACTACACCTTCACGCCCATCAAAATCAGAAGATTCTCTATATGGTGATCGTGAGCGCGAAGAACGTCATGTATATATATATATGCATTATTCGAAAAAATGTGAAAATTGCATAATATAATTATTAAATTCTCCCTTTATCATCATCATCATTAATAGGTAAAGATGAATAGAATGCGTTTACGTATCGCCGAAAGACTGAAAGAATCACAAAACTCGGCCGCTTCTTTGACAACCTTCAATGAAATTGATATGAGGTTTAACCAAAATTTTTTTGTTAATGATATGAATAATAATAATAAGATATTCAAACATTTCAAATCTACATATATTAAATATTAATTTAGTAATATTATGGACCTGCGTAACACATATAAGGAACTAATCCTACAAAAACATGGCATCAAACTTGGTTTTATGTCTGCATTTGTTAAGGCATCTGTATTTGCACTTCAAGAAATTCCGGTGGTCAATGCTTCTATTGAAGGTCCAGATGGTGGAGATACCATAGTTTATAGAGATTACGTTGATATGAGTGTTGCGGTTGCTACACCAAAAGGTCTTGTTACCCCTGTTGTTCGAAATGCTCACTTGTTATCTTTTATTGAGGTCGAAAAGGCAATCGCTGATTTAGGTAAAAAGGTAATAAAATTTTCATATTTTTCAAGTATCAATTCAGTAAGAATTTTGATTCAATCGATATTTCTAAATTTCAGGCCCGAGATGGAAAAATTACAATTGAAGATATGGCTGGAGGTACTTTCACTATTTCAAATGGTGGAGTATATGGTTCATTATTCGGTACTCCTATTATCAACATGCCACAAAGTGCGATATTAGGGATGCATGTTACCAAAGAACGCCCTATTGCAGTAAATGGCCAGGTATTTAAGTAACTATTATATAATTAATTTTATTCTCGAAAAGTAAATTTAATATAATCTGTCTTTTAATAGGTGACAGTTCGTCCAATGATGTACGTTGCTTTAACTTATGACCATCGTTTGATTGATGGACGTGAAGCTGTTACCTTTTTGAAAACCATTAAGGAACAGATTGAAGACCCTCGTCGTCTATTGCTAAGTATTTAAGTATTTGAACATGAGAAAAAGCTTTTTTTTTTTTTTTTTTGGAAATTTTATTCATTGGTATGTAATATTTATGTTGTCAACTTAGTCATCTATTCGTTTTTAACTCAAATTATTTAATCGGGTTTATTAATTTATAAGTTAGGGATTTGAACCTATAAAACTATTGCTATTTTTTATTATTATATCTACGATTGGTTTATATTCCATTCAAACTCTTTTATTAGAATTTGATTATCGTGGTGATAAAGTAATGTCTTCGGAACAACCGAAGAATTTAAAGCTCATATATTAATTAGTTATAGTGACTAATCAAGAATATATTTATGAAAAAAATTTTTTATTTTTACATTCGATTGCACCTTACTAATTAAATCATGTAACAAAACACAATTCCAAACATCTCATTATAATAAAGAGAGTTCGGACTCAACGTATGTAATTTGATCAAAAGAGTTTGAAAACGAAACTTCAATAATCAAAAAAATTCAGAAACGTTTATATAATTTCAATACTCTTTATACAAGAAATTTTAATATAATAATAAACAAACTAATTTTAAATTAATTTGATAATAATGGGATTCATGTTCAATGTGGATTAATACGCCTTATATGGACGTTGTACGTTCCACCATGTCCAGCCAATCATGTATGTTCTGAAACCCATGATAAACCAAAATCTTTTTTCTTTCGCGTCTTTTCACGTCAAAACCTTCAAAACCCCAAAACCCATGGATACTACCCTCAACACATTTAAAAGGCCCCAGTCAAAATTACAAGTTCCTTTACAACCAGCACAATTAAATCAAACTAGCATTGATCATAATCATCATACTTTAGCGAAACGACGTCTTTATAATTCATTAAATAATCAATTGTCTAGATTACAACAAAATATGAAAAACTTGGAAGAAAATGTAGAACTAACAACAAATCAATTAAAAAATATTCAAAGCTTTGGTTTAGCTCATGGTGCTATGTAAGTAAGAACATAAAAAAAAAAAAATTTTTTTTTTTTTTGTCAATTCAGCCTATTCTATATCATTTATGCTTGCTTTATTTTAGTTTTATGGCCGCGAATCGTATCATGCGTAATGATAACTCATGAATTCTTTCACAATAATTACAATCTTATAATTTAATGGAATAAAGTATAAGGAATGCTAAGGCTTGTCCTAATAATACATATAAAAGAAATAGTCTTTATATCCAATTGAAATATACCAATAAAGAATATTAATATCAATTCATGTTCCGATCAAAATTTCTTTTTAAAATGCTAAAATCCTCAACTGCACTATAAATTGGCAAAATTTTTGTAATCACAAAAATCTTTAAAGATTCGAACTAACCCTATGACGAAATAGTATTTTTTTCATAAGTCCCAAATTTTGACTATATTACAACATACAAAAATGCATCTTACCTTTGAAGTTAGTTAACTTTAACTGAGAAAAACATAAAACTCGTAATTTCAGAACAAGAGTACGAAAATCCTTTCCCACCACCTTCATTTTTTTTTTTCAGATAATGATGAAATAAGTTTTGATCAGTTTGAATAACAAAAAGTATCCTTAGAAAATTATAATGAAATATTCAATAATGATAATAATGATATATATTAATACATTGAGAATAATGCAATTAAAAACTTACAAGATAATCAAATGCAAGTTTGACAGATTACTGAATACAAATACAATTCTGTAATTGTTAAGTTTTTTTTTTACATTTACAGATTATTTGGAATCAAAAGATAAATGGCAAAATTTAAAAGACTTTGAAGTAGAAATGAGAAAAATAATTATGAAACATTTGAAGAACAAGATAAAATTATTATTATATAAAAAATATAGATTTACATTATGCATTGTTATTGATTTTGTTTAAGTAAAATTCAATGATGTGAAGCAATAAACAAAATTAAGACAATTACAAAACTTATTTAATACATGGCAAGTTGATAGAAAAGCAATTAAAGAAGTAGATGATATGTTGTCAAAACTAGGCATGTGTGATTCTCATTTCAATTTGATAATAAGTACTTACATAAATTATAGAATAAACAAGTGAAAGACTTTAATTAAGGTATTATTCAATAACATTATTGTATTTTATGTAATAAATATATTACTTTTTTTCTCAAGATATGAGATGCATAATATACTCTTGAAAATTGAATAAACAAAATGTTTTAATACTATATATTAGGCAATATTTATGTGAAGTATTACGAGTATGTCTACCTATATGCAAATGGGTTTTGATAATATTAAACAGCAATAATATATCTATTATTCATATTATGAAAATTTAGGTAATAATATTCATCATCATTCTAATAAAAGAAAAAAAGCAATAATATATATTACTGAAAAAGTTATATGTTGATGATAAAACAAAAAGACTTAAATATTTTAGAAAATTGACTAATTAATATTGTATAAATAATAAATAATGAAATTAAAAAATCAATATAATTTATTAAGTAACTCTTAATTTTTTTTAGTTTAGATTTTTTAAAAAGATATTTAATTTAAACTTAAATTAAAAGATTTAAATTTAAATTAAGACAATATTATTAAAATTGGATAGCTTTAAAAATATATCAATTAATATTAATAAAATATATAAAAAACCATTTTATTCTACATATACTAAATAGATTATAATTTTATAAAATGCTGTTGATATTATTTTAATTATTTGTTATTTAATTATGATTCTTTATCTAAATAAAATAAAAAAAAAAAATAATGAAAAATTGTTTATCATGAAGATAAAATAAAAATTAGTAAACTAGATAATGAATTTAAAAATGATTTGTACTAGTTGATTTAAAATTTAATGAATATAATAAAAAGAATTACAAAATTATAAAAATAGTTAAAATATTTTTTTAATATTTAATTTTTGAATTTTTTATATTGAATTTAGATATAGTTGATCTTCTATATAATCACCTTCTATATAATCACATTTTCTTTTTAGTCATATCATTATTTAGTCCTAATTTTTTAAATACAAAAATTACTTCTTTTATAGTTTTATTTATTTTATAATCACTATTACTTAAAATTATTAGTATATAATAATTAAATAATAATTATATAAAATTACTCTTTATATAATCATTGATTAATTATTGAAAATTTTATAATTCTAATACAGTTACATCTGATAAATAAATTCTGATATCTTATAAGTTAAAAAAAAAATAAAGTATTAGAATACTATTTTTAATAGAATAAAATATTATTTTGTTAAAGAAAATATTTCTCTTATTTTAAAAAAAAAAATAATATTCTTTCAAAAAAATTTATTCTTAAACATTTTTCCTTTCTATAACTTCTTTTCTAAAAAAAATAATATCAAAATTTTAAGCCTATATAAAATTTAGAGTAATATTTTATTATAAAAATTACTTTCTAAATTTAAATTTTAATTTATATAAATTAAATTTATAAAATATAAATTTTATTTATATAAATAATATAAATCATTAAAATTGTTTTCCTTCTTTTTAATATTTTTTTAAATTAAAATTATCTTTACGTTTTCTGAATTTTTCTTTCAAATTTCTTAGAAGAATTTGAGATAATTTTTCTAACAATAAAATTTTTAAATTTATTTTAAAATTTTATATTATTATTATAATATTATTATAAGAAAAAAAATTTTGTACATTTGTTAATATTAAAGTAAAAAAGAAATTTGTGAATATATATAAGCAAATAAAAATATTAAACAAGCTAATGTTGCTTCATATTTTAATACAAAATATTTTGATTATAAGCTTAATAAATTAATAATCACTAAAATATAGTAAAATCAGAATAAATAGCTTACTATTCAAACATTATATACCTTTTATCAATATTTTAATATTTGATAAAATAATATAAATTTAGACTAGTTAGGTGATAGTTGCTAGTATTTCTTTAAGTGATGCAATATTATAAGAAAAGATATAGAATTTGCAAAGGTATTAAATCTTAAAAATTAAATGAAATGTGATAATGAATATGTATAAAATTTAAGCAATAGAATGATTTTCATAAAATTAATTATTTAAATAAAATTAATAATACTTTATTAATTATTTTATCAAAAACATTTACAATTACAAAAATTTTAGTTAATTATAAAAATAACATTTATAATGCTGATAAGATAGATTTATTTTATTAAATGAAATTAAATCAAACTTTTTAATATAAATGCGATTTCTGGTTAAAAAAAGGTAAAGTTATTTAAATTTTATTAATTTTAATTTTAATTTAAAAACAATTAATTTAATTATAAACTATATTATATAATAATAATTTAGGATAAAAATCAGCTTTTAATTTTTTTATGTACTAATACTATTAGTTCTCAAAGTTTTTTTAAAAAATTACTTAATTTCTGTTATTTTAAAAATATTAATAAGTTATCTTTTTCTGTTACTTATTGTGCTAACTCAAAAACTTAAATATAATCAGATATATTTATTAATTAGCATCATAATATTAATAATTGATTTTATATAATAGATCAGTAAGTTCTTCTTATTATTGATAATACTAGATCTTACTTTCATTCAAAAAGATTTGAAAATTCTAGTGAAAATATACTATTTAATAATGAAAAAGATTTTGATAATAATGAAATAATATTGCTAAATCATCATCTTTGGCTTAAAAAAAAAATTTATAATAAATAATAAAGAAAATCAAAATAAAAAATTTTAATATTAACTTACAAATATTAAGCTTATTTACCTTTTTTTCTAATATTACTGCTTATCTTCAATTCATAAATATAGATATTATTCACAGTTTTAAAGCAAAATATAAAAAAGAATTTTGTAAACATTTGATCTGATATTTTGATAAAGAAATAAATATAGAAGGGTAAGTTAAAAAAATATTACAAAAAATAATTAAATATTTATAATATTTATATCTAAATATTAAAAAAGTAATTGAGTATATTGCTAAAGTATGTGATAATGTAATAGTAATAACTATTTAAAATAATAGTCTAAAACTAATATTCTTCTATTTCCTAATAAAAATATAGATGATATTATAAGTGGTATAAATATAGATAATTTAGATATGCAAGAATCTAATTCAGAAAAAGTTGAAAATTTCTTTTATAATATATCAAATAATAATAAAGTATAAGAATAATTTGATTTTTTCATTTAATAAAAGGCTATCTTATTAAACAAATTATAAATCTTATGTAATCTGAAGAAAATAAAGAGAATAATGAATATTTATCAGATAAAGAAATACCTTAGTATTAATAGAACAGTTAAACTAATATTTTGAAAATATTTATTAAATATTTTGAATAGTAAAGTAATAATTCTTAATTTAATATTAATAATCTATATATATTTAAAAGTATCTTTATATAACAAGTTAAAGTATAAATTTATTGAAACAAAATACACTTGATAATTTTTAAATATTTAGAAAGATTTATTTTATAATATTAAGATAAAGCATAATTTGATTTGAATAATAAAAGTTTTATACTATTAAACTAAAAAAATAAATTTCTAATAATAAATGTTATAATGTTTATATTAGATTTATTTAATATAATAATTATGATAGTTTTTTTGGCTATACTCATCATGATAAACATTTTTATTATTTTACCAATCTCATTTGATAATTCTAAAAGATTTTTAGAAGTAACAATATAACAATACTATTATGTAATTTTTTATAATTATTTTATAAATAGAAAAATTAAGATAAGTAGAAGATTTATAGAATCAAAGTTAAAATTTACTCTTTATTTATTAATTCATTTTTTACTATTCTTATATAATTACTTCTATTTTTATTCTAAATAAAATTAAACAGCTTTTTCTTTAACCTACAAATCACAATTCCTTACGTATTTCTATCTGACATATTTGTTTAAATCCTATGTAATATAATTGCTTATTTTTTGTTTAGAACAATTATTTATAGAATTTAATTTTCTGTTAATTTATATCTTTTCATAACAATACTTTAGAATTTAATTTTTTATAAAAATTTATATCATAATTTTTAATATATATTTTTATAACTTCATAAAAATTACCTATTTATAAGCATACTTTTATATAATCATAGCATTGTGTAATCCTAACAGGTGTGATTATATGGAAGATTAACTGTATATATAAAGGTGATATATAAGAAGTATTGCCTTCTATAATAAATAAATTTACTTATTTTATAATATATAATAATAAAATTATAATTAAATGACTTAAAATTTTGATATAATCAAATTAATTGCTAAATATTATATAAAATAATAAAAAATAAATATGATTAATAAAATATTATTATAAATTAATTTTAAAAATTCAAAAATACTTTTTTTTTTTATAATTAATTAAAATTTATTATTATTATTTTAATTAAAATTAATTTAATAATTTTTATAATTTTTATAAAAAATTTTATTGTAAGATTACTTAAAAAAATGTAATCTTTATAATCATTTAAATTTCATTATTTTGTAATGTTTCAATTTGATCATGTACTTTAAGTTCATTTATAACAACTTGTAATGATTCACCATTTAATATATTATTCAAATCATATAATGTTAAATTAATTCTATGATCAGTTACCCTATTCTAAATAAGTTATTTAAATTAAGTTATTTAAATTACTCAAGTTAAATGTAAAATATAAATGAAATATTAACTTACTTGTGCGAAATTATAAGTTCTTATTTTTTCAGATCTTTCACCGGATCCAACCTATAACAATTATAAAAAATTAGCTAATTGAAGCTAATTAGAAAGTAACAAAGATTATTTTAAGGAATCACACCTGTTTTCTTCTATTTTCTCTTCTTTCTTGTTGTAATTTTTTTCGTTCCATATCATATAATCTTGCTTGCAGAATTTGTAATGCCTTCGCTTTATTCTTTGTTAAAAAAAATGAAACAACAAGTTAAAACAAATAAATTCTATCAAAATAATTTCTTAAATAACTTACTTTTGGTTGAGATCTTTCGTCTTGTATAGCCACTACAAGACCACTTGGAATATGAGTTATTCTAACAGCACTAGACGTTGTATTGACATGTTGTCCTCCTTTACCACTTGACCTATAATAATCTGTGCGCAAATCCGAATCTTTAAATTTTACATCCGTCTAAAAAAAATAAAAAAAAAATAAATTAATATCATTTGAATTTGAAAATATTTATTTATTTTGATAAATACCTCAGATGGAACTGGTAATATTGCAACTGTAATTGTGCTTGTGTGCACTCGACCAGCTTTCTCTGTTATAGGAATTCTTTGTACTCTGTGAACCCCTGATTCAAATTTCATATTACCGAATACTCCTTTACCTGATATCGTAGCTATAACTTCCTATTCAAAGATAAATAGTTAATTAATTCAAATATCATTTAATAAGATAATATAATTGTAGATATACCTTAACAGCTCCAATATGATCTTCTGATTTGGATAGGATTTCAAATTTCCATTTACGTAACTCCGCATATCGTTCATACATTTTTAATATGTCATTGACAAATAACGCAGCTTCATCTCCTCCGGTTCCTACATAAAATTTAAACATAAGTCACTCTTTGTTTTTTTATAAAAAAAAAAAAAATTGGCTAATTAACTTACCAGCTCGAAGTTCAATCACGGCACTTCCTTCATCAGCTAAATCTTTTGGTAATAAAGCTTGTACTACTTCTTGTTCAAGTAATTTTATTTTTTTTAAATATTCTTGATATTCCTCTTGTACAAGTTCTTTCAATTCTTCTTCTTTTGTAGTTGTTGTTTCTTGTAATATAGTATTAATCTCTTCAAGTTCCTATAATATTATTTCTTTTTAGTAAAGATATTTTTACATTTTTCCTTAAAAGAGTCGCGTAATTAATAGGTTATACTACACCTTGTGCTTTTCTTAACTCATTATAAGGATCGGTTATCTCACTTAAATCTGATAATTCTTTAGAAAGTTTTGCCAAGCAATCTGGATCATCACTTGATGATAACTTTATAAGACAAAATGAGACATTTGAAAAAATTATATATGATAATAAATACTATTTAATAAAGGTACCAACTTGTTTAGATAATTGCTCGGATAGTGAAGAATGACGAGTTATTAATCCTTCCAATTTTTCATGAATTTTAGGGTTTATTAATGTCTCTTTTTTTATAAAGATAAAAAATTAATTTAAAATTAAAAAAATAAATAAATTATTTAAACCATCAAATAAAAAATAAATAAGGTAAGAACCTGTTGAATATGAACGTATCTTCAACTGTAACCTTGATAATATTGCTGAATTGAAAAAATTATAATTATTTTTGTAAGAATAATAAGCCGATGAAGGTCTTCTTATTGAAATTAAAATTAATGATGAATAATTTCTTTTAAACGATTTTGTAATAAAATGATGTAAATTTAATTTTTGAAAAGAAAGTATTGTACGACTCATAATGAAATAGTAATATTTTTTTTTTTTGTTTTTCTCCGAAATATCAATTTTTATATTCTTATCGAAGATGATATTGTGTCACCTAATGGTTGTCATACCAAGCATATTTAACTTTTTACTCTCTTTAACAATTTTAAGTCTTAAAATTTTCTAGGCAAAGTGCTAAAGTCTATAAAGTTCATATAATAATGTCTTCTTTAAAAAATGTGTCACGTGTCAAAAGGTCCAACTCACCTAAATAACGCCTCAAAATGATCTGTTGAATTAAAAAAATGGGATGAATCTTTGTTTTAAAAAATCTTTTTATCAATAATATATTATATACCTTGACTTCTTTATTGGCATTTTCAATATTACTAAAATTTTGTTTGCTGTAGTTTTTATTCGGTGACCAAAAATTCGTTTTTAAAAATTTCGTTTTTTTATTACGATGTATTAAAAAAAAAAAAAAAAAAGAAAAAAAAAAAAATTTAAAAAAAAAAAAACCTTCTATCGTGGGATAGTAAATGAGGTAATGAGGCGTAAGAAAATTATCAAGTTTCGGCGCAGTATCCGTTTCGCATAAAAATAAATAGTTTCAATTGGAAAGCTTTGTTTTGACATTTTAAATTTTCCTTTTTTTTTCTCTCTTTTTAAACAATTGTGAAGTTCTTTTTAACAAATTTTAAGAATTCTATAAAATATCTTTTTTTTTTTTTTTTTTTTTTTTTTTTAAAAGAATTACATAAATGGTGGAGAATTAAAACGCCTAAACACAAAGATTTCATTTTAAATATAATTTTTTTTAAAGTAAAAAAGTGAATGATAAAATATTTGAAAGCTCTTACGCTCTATATTCTGCAGTCATCCACAACTCATATGTTTCCCAAACATTAATGATATCTTCAGAATCTTCCAACATTTGAATTTCTTCCCAACTATTCAATACTTTATCATGACGTAAATATTTTTGTAAAGTTTTAACACATTCCCTTGTCAAATTTCCCTTAACATCCGAAATATAAAAATTAAGCAATTCACGCCCTTTCCACATTTCAAAAAATTTTGTTAAGTCTAAAGGTGAAAATTCCCATCCCATATTCCCATGAAAAAATTCTCCGATACTACTCAAATTAATCATTTTCAATGATTTGGGAGCTTTAATTGCCAAAAATTCCAATAATGGCAAAGTTTTAATATCTTCAACGGTTATCAATTTAATACCCTCCAACCTTTGACATTTCTTGAACATTTCTTCCAAAGCGTCATAAATGCCTTCTTTATACCAAATTGTGACGAATTCAATCTTTGGGCAATGATCCGCAATGGCCAACACATAATCCTTCGCCTCCCTTTCACTTTGCGGTTCTTCAATTACATTCATGGCGATCCTACGGAGCATTCCTTTGGTTCTCTTAATGATACATGTGAAAATTTTATAAGGAGTGAACCTATCATAAATCACTTCCAGGAATTCTAGTACCGGAAAATTAGAAGATTCATGTAACATGATAGGTTTCTCCGCGGACAATTCAAGGTTCAATAACTTTAAATTTGAAAATTTTGCCAATATCTTTGGTGAAAAGAAGATTTGACCGCGAAAATGAACGTACAACAAGGAGATCTCATGTAAGCTCTTTCCGACCTTTCTAGAATCCGCCTCATCATTCACATTATCACACATTGATATATATTGCAACCTTTTTTGAAAATGAATGAAAGAGGCCAACCCTTCATTATCAACGATTGCTTTATTAATGATAAGTTTCTCTAGGCTAGTACAAACTTTTTCCAAATCCTTGAAAATCTGTGGTGAAATGTCCGCATCACACGTAATTTCCCTTAATCCAGAAAAGCAATTTATTGGGGCGGTTATACCCAATAAGGGAAACCGAGGGATTTCAAAGTATTTGATATTTGAATTGACCAAGAAAAAATTGTAAAGTAACCTTTCGATGTACATCAGATTATGATTGATATTCAATGAATTATAAAGTTCATGATTGAATACTCCATGAATCAACCCTTTAATGTGTCGATATTCCAATACTTGAATATATTGAACATAATTGAATAAGGGGACCCTTGTCGTCGGGGGTGTGATTGATATACCATTAACTATGAAGGCAATCTTTATGTCAGGAGGTAATAGGGCGTATATCGTACTGGTTATTGATCTAGTTGACTTCTCTCTCCAATTAAACCAAGATAATACCCAAGGATTTCTCCACATTACGGGGATAACAGCCTCACACCATTTTCTGTTTACCAATAAACAAGAACCTAAAGTTTCTAAATCATCATATTCGTACGCATGCTCGAAAATTTCACGAAGACATTCAGTTGGAAGTGAAGAAGAATACATCGAGCCTATGATTAAAATTATTTTTGAACTAAATCACTCAATATATTTTCATCATAAAACATAATATAAAAAAAAAAAAAAAAAAAAAATTGATGAAAAATTTTACTTTGATCCTTCCACAAATGCCTTTAAACGATTTATGCAAATCTAAGAGAAAAAAATATCTAAGATTAAAAAATTTTTTTCTTGAAAAATTTTAAATTTTAAAGATACAGAAAAAAAAAAATTTTTTTTTTTTGTGTACGTACAGAAAAACACTTCAATGTTGTTTGAACATCTGACAATCAGACTACAGTACTAAATATATAAGAAAAAAAAATTTTTTTTTTTTTTTTTTTTTTTCATTTTAATGATTAGCTGAAACTTTGAAACGTCATCATTGAAAAAAAATTTTTTTTTAACATTGCAGGAAAAAAAAAAAAAAAAAAAATCTGATTTTGTGAAAGATCAATTGAAATGTATGTGATGATGATACAAAAGAGAATGAATAAAAGTTAAATTCTTCAATGCATTAAACGCGTCATAACACCCAACTGCATAAATACAATGATTATTTACAAAAGATGATCAAACTTGGTTAAAAATATTTGGCATATATAGAACTTTTTTAAAACATTTTACTACCAAACATTATAACAATGAAAAAAAAAAAAAAAACAAAAACAAATAAAAAAATTTTCAAAATTACAAAATGTAGCTCTATATAGTAAATTTCAAAATTCATTATTTTAGCTTTTTACGATTAACCAACTTCATCGCACAAAATGATATGACGGCCCAACCATATGCTATAAATCCAAGGTTAATTAAACAATCTTCATAATGTTCAAAAGCGTATGTAAAATTCAACGGCTCATTATGTATTTCATACCACCTGTAATTAGAAAATAAAAAAAAAAGGTTAAATATATTTCTATTTTATACGAATATTCAAAAATGAGAATTTTTTTTTAGATGGCTTACTTTCTTGGACCAATTTCTTTTAAATAAAGAGCCTCAACTACCCATCTTGGAGCAGAAACTTTCCAAAGCCATTTTACGAATTTGTATGTATCAGAAGAATTAACTGCTACTAATTCAGGATTTTTGCCACTTAATACTAATGACCATGCTAGTGCAAATCCTGTACCGATTAATGCCATTTGTTCTTGCAAAGGAAAAAAAAAAAAAAAAAAGATAAAGTTATTCGTTAAGAATTAGGATTTCAAGTAAAATCTGCGTAAATTACCTTTCTTAACTATAATCGACAAGAAGTAACCTAAAAAGTAGCAAAATTTAATTTTTTTCGTAACATCTCATCTATAACAGATATGAATATTTATTTATTTATTTACTAACCCATCGTCCAAGCGCATGAATAACTTAGTAAAGCGATTACATAAATCTCTACAAATAATGCTTGATATGAATAAAAAACGATAAAAGCCATTGAAAACATTGTAGAAGCATTAATTATACGAGGAATATCCGCAGTAAATTTTGCGAGAAAATACGGTAAAGACTTCATGCCAGCTGACGTTTCACGCCAATATACGACCTTTTCGTATCCAAATGTTGTACAGGCGGCTAAAATACATGAATATTGAATGATAAATAATAATGCATTAAAAATGAATTCAAACATTTGTTACTCTTTACTTGCCACTAATGCCCGAAAAGGTTGATCCAAGCGCGAAAAAGACGGAGCAAGTCTATGAAGAAACATACTAAGAAAAAATATGCAAAAAGAAATATTTTAAAAGGATTGAATGAGGGGAGAATCGTTTTTACCTGTACAAGATCCAATGAAAGTAGACAGTAAGGAATTACGGCATAAGGTGTTACAATGCAAAGTTCTCTTGGTGGTCTCCCAACATAATTAACATTACTGGCAGTCAAAGAAACGAAGGTTCCGCATGCAATATGTAATGACGTATCAAAAAAAAATTGTCCTCTATTTCGATAAAGTTGTAAACATGCCCGTTTAAATAAAAGTACATATGATGTAAACCCATTTGGAGTTTCGCGAATAGGATCACGTTCCCAAAAAAAGAATGTTGTTCTCAAGAATGATGAAAATTCTGTCATTACGTCATTAAAATAATCTATTACGTCTCTAAATAGTTGTAAAAATATCGTAAGATAATTTGAAAGAAAATTTTTAAATTTTTGTATAATTTTTACTGAAGACTTTTCACAATGAACTTCTATTGTAATATGAGATCCGGGTAAATTTAACGTAGGATCATTTATTTGCCCTGAACTGTAATTATTCCAAACATTGGGTAGATCGCTTGTTGAAAATTTACGATTAACGGGTTGAACTTTTTCAGAAGCAATCTTCAACATAAAATCAGGAGGGCTATAATAATACAATAAAATTAGCAAAGCAAGTAAAAAAAAAATATATACACATAAATTCGTTTCATCATTTACCTTTCATCCGGAGGACAAACAAAACCTAAATTTTCAAAATAATTTAATGCCTTATCTCTTTCTCCGGAATAAATGACCCTTCCTCCTTTACTAAGTAGCAGAAAATCATCAAACTGTCGAAAGGCTTGATCTGAAGGACTATGTATAATGGCCGCAATAGTAAGACCTTGTTGATGAGCGATATTCTTTAAGAGCGTGCACAATTCAAATGAAGTCGTAGAATCTAGACCCGAAGTTGGTTCATCCTGATTAAATAATAAAAATATATGAGTACCGAAAGATGATGAAGTCAATAAAATTATCAAAAGAATCTTACCAAGAAAAGAATTGATGGTTCAGCGACAAGTTCCATCCCAATATTTACACGCTTACGCTGACCTCCCGAGATACCTCTGTTCTCTTTAGATAAATTCAATTTAAGATTTTAAGTAGTTTTAATAAGTAATCACAAATTTTAACATTATTATATTTTTCACCTTCATTCCCGATAACTGAATCCATAATGTGACTTAATTCCAAAAACGATATTATTTCAAGAACTTTTTGTTTTTTGGTTGCGCGGTTCAAATCAGTTGGCAGACGCATCATGGCAGAATGCTAATAATCAAATGAAATAAATAATATAAAATACCAAAACCGAATTTATGATAAAACAAAGCAATTTTTTTTCGTACCACCAATATTTCGCGCACGGTTAATTCACGAAGCATAACATCTAAGGTCGAAAAAAATTATTAATGAGTCGAATAAATTATGTTTTTCTACAATCAGTCATAGAATTTACCTTCTTGAGGGACATAGCCTATTAATTTGCGATATTTTTCTAATGGTTCTTCCACTCCATTAACTATAATAAAGATTTAGTTGGCATAATCTTGAATTTAAAAATTTTATAAAATTAATGATTTCATTACCTTTAACTGTGCCACTAGTTTTCTTAACCTTTCCAGTTAATAAAGAAACAAAAGTAGTTTTACCAGCGCCTAATCGTGAAATTAGGGTTTGATTTTAATTTTCTAATTGATAAGAATTATTTTTCATATTATTATTATGTACCTGAAGGACCCATGATTGCGCAAGTCCTGTGTTTACTTAATTTTCCAGACACTCCCTATTATAATGAAAATGCGTTAACAAAAAAAAAAAATAAAGTTAAAAATAAAATAAAATAAACTTACCTTCACGATTTCGATACCACTCGGTAATATCAATCCAAGATTTGTAAATTCGATATCAAAGGTCCTTGAAACAGGTTCAAGTTTCATTTCGGATTGCAGTTTATGATCATTGAATAATTTTTTATATTTTGCAATTTTTATTGTATCAATTTTCCTTTTTACTTGGAATAATAATAAAAAACCCCCAAGTAATATCAATAATATCAAAACTACACGATAACTACTGAGAGCACTTGATCCTGGTGGACAACTTGCTAGTTTGTGACAAGGTGATGGTTGAATGCTACCAATTTCACAAAAATGGCCTAAGTAATAAAAATTTTTTAACGTTCCGGGTTCGTGGCGCAGTATACCGAGTGAAGATCATGAAATACAATAATACCTTCTGGACAAAGGGATAATTCGCTACCATTTTCACTACAATAATAACCGGCACAACAATACACAGGTTGAGCTTTTTTTTTAAAATAAAAATAAAAAACATATCGTAAATTAATTGTACTGATGAAAGCTGCTGCAACCGCGATATATATGTGATGATTTTTACCTGTGTTCGCCGGGCAAAGAAAGCCAGCAGTACAGGGTATCGAATTTCCGGGTCCTATACAATAATTCCTTTGAAAAAAAAAAAAAAAAAAAAAAACAGAAAAAGATTTTACTTTTGACGATTCAAACATAACAACAAACTCTTATTGATGATTAAAATTCTAACCCGGCTGCACAATCCCAAGTAATCAATTTACCGCCGACCGTAATATTGTCTTCGGGACGAGGAGTAGATATATAATAGCATGGATGCCCAAGCTCCTGAGTTACGATCGAATTGAGTGTTAAAATGAGTGAACTAATTGAAAATTGAAGAAAAAATTTGTTTCACCTCAGTTCCCGGATATGTTTTATTTTGAAGTAACGTAACGTAAAGCATAGGATTTAATAATCCTTGTAAATCCTCCATATCAGAAAGCGCAAAATTTACCAGCGATATTAAGATTATAAATATGATTTTAAAATTTATCTTCTTGATTATTAATAATTTTTATTCCAATAATAAATAAAATGAAAGATATGCACAGTAATTTGGCATATCGACGAAGAAAAGAAATTTCTGCTTTATTTATGGTTTGCGATAAACTCCTCTACTACATTATTAGACCCGATGGTTCCTTAAAAACCAATCTTTGTTTATGCAATTCGTTTAGAATGGATCGTGCATTTTATAGAAACAATATGAACTCCGAATTCCGACACTTTGAAAATTGCAAGAAGTATTTGAAAGTAACAATATAATATTTCCTATATCGAATAAGGATTTACAGCAATGATGTTCAGTCTATGATCCGCAGCAAACAGAATGAGATTATTTTTATTTTTTTATTCTTATTTTCGCTGTTTAAATAAAGGTCGCATCGAACAAAGGAATCGATTTATGAAAAAGACTTAATCCATTTATAAATGATGAATCTTTTTGATTCTGTTCACTCGTAAGCCATTTAGCGTAACTAGTTTTTTTATTAAGAATTGCATAATTAAAATTTAGCTTTAAATGTAGATTTTGCTTTACTTGACCCCTTTTCGGTATTCTGAATTTCCTTTTGTGGTATGCTATCCAAAAATGGTTCAATTATATCGTGAAGTTTTTGGGTTCGTTCAACCATAACCCAATGAGAACAATCTTCAATATTCTAAATCGATTTATTAACGGACGTTATTGGAAAGTTATAAAGGTGCGCAATTTTTAAAATTTTGTGCATCACTTACACTTATCGTTAAGTCTTTACAATACTTGTGCATATTCGTGGTGATTGAGGGAGGAAGAAAGATATCTCCTCCAAGAGTAATCTATTCATTTCACGTGATTATTTAAGGGAAAGGAATAAAGACTTTAACATATTTCATATGTATCATCACAATGTTTTGTTCTATATTTACCATAAGAGCAGGATGATGTATTTGCTTTCTAGCACCTACAAACAAATAAAATGTTTAAATTTGAAAAAGATTTTCTTGCGTAAATCCTTCTTTTCTTAACATAAAAATTACCTTTCTCATCTTGAAAGTTCACTTTTCTGGTTTTATAGTAATTTAGTGCTCCATGAAATCCTCTGGCCTTATATTGCGTAACATAATAATCCAGTTCCTGAATGACCAAGGGAATCAATTACGAGTTATATGTTTATGTTAAAGAGAACCCATAAGATTAAGATACCTGATTCGTGATCATTGGACTCTTTTCCAAGTTATTAGGAACATCTCCAAACATGGAATTACCATCAAAAGTTTTGACATTGTCATCCTTAGACGAGCGTAGGATACCCTTAAAGTATAAATCCACCTAGAAAAAAAAAAACATAAAAAGGATTAAAAAGTTAATATATAAAAGAATGAAATGATCGAAACGAATCTTCTATATACGAACGTTACTATCCAATTCTATTTCAGCTTTAGGATGAGTGAAATAAACTTGATACTGTAAATTTGGCAAAAGTTCGGCCACGGATTCAATGCTGAGATAATGTTCGTTTGGTGGAATGTATGAGGTGCTTAAGCTGAATCAAGGAAATCATTATTAATGCATGAAGAAATATGATAAAAAAGATGATAATAAAGTCTGTACCTGATTACAGCACGAACCCTTTCGGGATAATGAATGCACATTCTCCAGACGATATGACCGCCCCTTAGAAAAAATTTACGGGTGTTATAATATGATATTTCCCGGTATTGACATGTTGAAATGCTGGGACTTACCAATCATGACCCATGAAAATTGCCTTTTTAATATTTAACTGATCCATAAGTTCGGTTAAATCCTTACAGATATTCTTGAACCCATATTGATGTATGTCGTCTGGCGGACAACGTGGTGACTCCTATCAACATGTAAGAGGCGTAAGATGGAATTGTATTACAATATGAAGGACAAAAAAATAAAATTACAGTTTGTCCAAAGCCTCGTAGATCCGGTGCAATCACCCTAAAACCTTTCGACACTAAAAAAGGAATTTGATAGCGCCATCCGTACCACAAATCGGGAAAACCATGACAGAGGACGATTGCCTGATTATTTTCTTCGCCTTCTTCAACATAATCTTTAAACATCACAGAATTAATTGACATATATATATATATTTTTTTTTAAAAAAAAAAAAAAAAAAAAAAAAAAAAAAAAAAAAAAAAAAAAAAAAAAAAAAAAAAAAAAAAAAAA